CCGCGACGGATCTGCGATACACTACATCGGGCAGACATGTGTCTTTCGGACGTTTGCGAATAGGCACTTTGCGAGTAGTGGAACGCGCTCGGTGAACGAACTCTATACACCGACGCTTTGTCCGACCCTGCGCTGAAATTCGCACAGGAACGCGGATCCAGGTGTATGCGGGATCCTGGCGTATACATGTTTCGTTGTTTCCCGTGGGAGACGGGGAAACCGTATACACCACACCACCCCGACGTCCTGTCCGACCCTCACAATGTCGTGGGACTGAACAAACACCCCGCCACTGGCAGTGCCTACGCTCCAGTCTCCGGAGCTCCTCCGAACAACGGCGGGGGAAGGCGACCTGGGGAGGACAGCTCCTCGGCCTGCGGGGGCCCTCCCCTGGGACCCCGCTGCTCCTCCCGAGTGCAGCAGGGGGGCCCGACCACGAGGGACCATCCACCCTTCCAGATTACGCCTCGCTCCTCCTGCTGCCACCCTTCCACCTACGCCTCGCTCGACGATCCTCAGAACGCGCGATGGCGCAGACGTGTGCTCGCCCAAACCTTTCCAGCACGACGCAGGCGGTGCAGCCAAGGCCGACGCGGGCTGCGCGCCGTCCGCGGAACTCAAGGGGTGAACGCACACACACTGCGTTACAGTGGGGACCCGTCAAAAAGAAACCCAACCCTGAGAACCCAAAACGTCCATGGATTGGTTGTGCGGGAGCGTCGCGCTTTAACGGCAAAACCATCGAAACCCAAGAACCCCAGAGCACCCTGGAGGCAAGCAGGGTGTTTCTTGGCATGGGCCCCCACTGTAGTTCACCGTCCCGGGCCTGGGGCCCGTAGAGGGCCCTGGGGCCCGAACACACGCAAAACCTCAGGACCCGCTTCCCCCCGTGTGGACGCCCGACAGGGGTACACAGAGAAAAGTGCGACGCCCAACAACAAGCGGTGTTCAAAACCGACAGCGGCTGCTGTTGGGCAGACCGCCCTCTGTCTCAAACGGACAACGCCCGCGGCGGCAAGGGCAGCCAGTCCTGTTCAAAATGCAGAGGAACTGCCGTTGGGCAGCATGCCCACATACCGTACCCGTTTCGATCGTGCCGACCTCAGGATCCGTTTGTGGCAATTACTTTTCGGCGTTAGTCCAGGGGGGAAATGATAAGGAGAAGGCCGTCTCAAAAGGCTCGGAAGTCCCCAGGCCTTCTGAAACGTTGTCTGAGCCTTCCCCGAAGACACAGGCAGCTTCCCGAAGGCCCGAGGGCTTCTGAGACGCCCCGCCGCCTTCCGAGAAGGCCTCCTCCTTCGCACTTCTCCCACTCGCTCCCTGCCGACCCAAAATAAATACCAGCTTCTCAGCACGACACATGGCGCGCCTTCGGTGCAGCTGCCTTCGGCGTCGTCGCCGTCGTCGTAAACAGCGCCGCTGTCATCGTAGACTTCGAGGTTGTCGTCGTCGTCGTCGTCGTCGAGGTCGTCGTCTTTGAACTGATCCCCTCGCTGGCCGCCGACTTTTACCTGGACTCGTGTTCTCGGACGGTCCCCCGAGGCCCGCGGACGGCCCACTGCAGGGCACCCAAGGGGCGCAGGCAGCTCGTCGTAAACAGCGCCGCTGCACTTCGACCGACGGGACGTACCTGGACTCGTGCACGGTCGGCCCACTCAGCTCGTGGTCGGGTGCACCGACCCAGGTCGGTGCACACCCGGGTCAGTTGGAGGGCAGTAGGCGACCCGAGGGGAGGGCGAGGAGGGGGAGGAGGAGGAGGGGGAGGAGGAGGAGGAGGAGGAGGAGGAGGAGGAGGAGGAGGAGGAGGAGGAGGAGGAGGAGGAGGAGGAGGAGGGGGGGAGGAGAAGGGGGAGGAGAGGGGAGGAGGAGGGGGAGGAGTAGGAGTAGGAGTCAAGCTAGCCAGCTCGAGCGAGTCAAGCATGGCATGCCCAGTCCCACCCGCCCTCCCACAACATAAGAAGCAAAGCTGGCACAACTGGGGGCCGAAGTCACACCGGCCAGCCGGTTTGGTACAGCTGATGCGGCCGCGATGGCGGTTGCCGACGGGAACTGGCGAGCGCGTGTTGAATGCCGCGCACGCATTGCCAGACGAGTCGAGAATGGCCCGGTACACCGCAGGAAGCCAGAGGTGGCCGGAGGAAGCCCGACGGTCTGACAGGACACCCCAAAGCATTTTTGTGAAAAAGCATTGGGTTTTTGATGTTTTTATGTTGAAATGCTTGCAAACACACGGTGTTCGGTAGGATTCTGACATGAACGCGCGAGTGTGCTCTTTGTAGTATTTTTTGCACAGGATTCGCGGCCTGGGTGCATGACAGAGCATCGCGAGTGCACCGCGCGATGACGTGAAATCGCTGGATTTGACAGAATTCTTAAGATTCCTATGGTTTTCCTATAATTTCAGCAAGAGAGCCCGGGCGGGAAATTTGTACAATGTTTTGTGAAAAAAAAGCATTGGGTTTTTGATGTTTGTATGTTGAAATGTTTGCAAACACACGGTGTTCGGTAGGATTCTGACATGAACGCGCGCGTGTACTCTTTGTGGTATTTTCTGCAATGGATTATCGCCGTGGACGACAGGACGTCCATGTCGAGAGGAAAAATAAGAAAAATGTTGATTTTGTATTGTTTTTTACAAGTTAGGATGGGACCACCCGGATGCGCCCGCTATCTGCCGGCCTGAGGGGGGAGTAGGAGTATATTCTAATAAGGAATAAGGATTGGAGGAAGAGGAGGAGGAGGAGGAGGAGGAGGAGGAGGACGAATCGCCGAAGCCCTTCGGAGAAGCCCTCCAGGGTCAATCCTCTGCACCCAAACCCGGGTCAATGCACCCCTGGCTTTGCAGGATGCTGCAGAATCCCGCGCTCTGGCCGACCCCCTTCTGCACTGCCCCCGTCTCTCGAGCCCCGACCCTCCCCTCCGCGGCGAGCCCCAGGCGCGGGCTTCGCGAGAGCCACCGCCCCCGGGCTCACCACCGAATGCGCGGTCGACTGCGTCCGCTCTGCGCGGGACCTCCCTCGAGGAGTTGGGCAGGGACCGACCGTCCCGGCATTCGTAAAGGCCTACCACGACATGTTCTACATAAACATCTAAAAACAACAGCGGTGCTCTCAGAACAGAAAGTACACCGATGTACCAACAAAACATCTCGCGCACACCACAAGAAGCTCTGATTATTTGGTGGGCCTATAGGCCATCCGGGACGATTCGCCACTAGGGCAGACCAGGTGGAGCACGACGACGACGACGAAGATGCCGCAGAGGCTCGGTCGTGGGGTGAAGGGCCAGTCCTCTTCCTCCTCTGCAGCCTCCCCTCCGCTCCGCCCCGTGTAAGCTGCAGAAACACCGGTCGGCTGCACAGAATCGCCCGAATACGATCCTCTGGCTTCCCCAGCAGCTCCCTTTCCATCTCCTCCTCCTCCTCCTGCTCCCTCCCTCCCACTTCATCCACAATGTGAATACTACTCTCCTCTCTCCCCTGGTGGCGTCTGCGGAGTGTCCGGCCCCCCTCCGCGAATTGGTTCTTTACACACAAGACTCCCGGTCGTTGGGTTGTCGCTTGTTTTTTCTTCAAAGTGCTGCTCTCACTGAAGGGCTGATTCCTTTTCGGCATACCGCTCGCCCCGAATCGTGCTCCCGCTGCAACGGTGGCCTCATTTCCGCGCTTCCGCTCGTTCCGAATCGTGCTCCCGCTGCAGCGCTGGCGTCATTACTTCCAGCGCCATGCCACGGCATGGTTTTCGGTCCTTCCAAATAGGCCTCAGAATCAAACAAAAACCCGACAAAAACCATCGGAAGTGATAAGTGATTACACATCCGATCTCGATTCGTAAATTTGAAGCCCCCCCCCTGGGGCGTCGCCACGCCATGCTATGTCATGCTACGCGTTATCATTTCCGCGCTTCCGCGCTGAGTTTGTTTTCCGAAATGCGGCTCACGCTGAAGTCCTGGCCTCAATTTTGGGCTACGGCTCCTTCCGAATCGTGCTCCCACTGCAACGCTGGCCTCATTTCCGCGCTTCCGCTCGTTCCGAATCGTGTTCCCGCTGCAACGCTGGCGTCATTATTTCCAGCGCCATGCCACATGGTTTTGGGTCCTTCCAAATAGGCCCCAAAATCTAATGGACCCCGGAATAAACCATCGGAAATGATTACGTTTTCGGTGTCGATTCGATTATCTTTTGGGCCGCACAAGCCCCCCCCCACTTTGGGGCGTCGCCACGCCACGCTATGTCAGGCTACGCGTCCTCATGTTCGCGCTTCCGCGCTTGTTGTTTTCAAAAGGCTGCTCTCGCTAGAGCGCTGGCCTCATTTTCGGGCTACCGCTCGTTCCGTATCGTGCTCCCACTGCAATGCTGGCCCCATTTCCGCGCTTCCGCTCGTTACGAATCGTGCTCCCGCTGCAGCGCTGGCGTCATTATTTCGAGTGCCATCCCCGGCATGGTTTTGGGTCCTTTCAAATAAGCTCCAAAATCTAGAACATGGACCCCGGAATAAACCATCGGAAGTGATGACACATTCGGTGTCGATTCGTCGATTTGGGCCGCAGAAGCCCCTGTCGCCACGCCATGCTATGTCATGCTACGCGTTGATCCTCGACACAATGCTATGCCATGTAATGCTATGCCATTCTACGCCATCCGATTGTGCGAATAAAGAGGAGATCTACGCCATGGGAAGGGATGGGCGGGAGGGGTAGGACGTCAGATATGACGCGAGCGCACCTAGCTTGCATCTACCCCCCTCTCCCCTCTGCTCGATAGCCTCCGAAATGTTCCGGAAGCCTCTGGAGGTGTCTGGAGGGCACCGCGGGCCTCCTGGAGGCCTAGGATAGATCAGAGTCTCGCTCCTTGAACCTCATCGAGGCTCCTCCTTGGAAGACCGCCTCATCCATATGGCGGGCGGCATCTGTAGCCGACGATGGTCGGGTCCACCTTCCCCCTTGACATCTCGGCGAGCAGCGACAGCGCCTGCCGCCACCGCGCGCCCTTCTCGCAGGCGCTAATCGCCGCGTTGTAGCCAATGACCTCCAGCTCCACCTGAGCGGCGCGACCAAAAATGTCTCTCGAACGCGCACAAGCCGGTCAGCACAGACCTGGTTACAAGTTCAAAAAGAAAAAGCATAACTCGCAGGCTCAATAACTAAGCGGTCTGCGAGTATCGCGTCTATGAGATCGTATGAAGTCAGGATGATGCAGTCGCTTCCATGAGAGCGCACAAACCGGCCAACAGGTTGATGACGACAACTATTGGAACTCATGCGCAAGAGCTGGTTGCTTGATAAGAGCCCAGACATTATTATCGTGGACGCCCAGCCACGTACACGAATCGGAAATCCCACCAGCCCTTTGGGCGTGAGTGGTTTAGAGAGCCCGCTCTGTCCTCAACCCCCCTTCTTCCCCTTCGGGGAGGGGTTTACCCCTCCCCCTACCCCCTCCCCCTGGGCCTGGACAGGGACTCCCGGGTGGTGGCAGGGGGGTCTGATTCGACTCCTGGGAGGGCCAAAAAACGACGACCCTCACGAGGATTCTGGCCCCGACGGGGGGACCGAGTTTGGCCCCTCTGCTCTTCTTTGAAGCCAGAATCATTGATTGTACTTCGGTTTTGGCCCCATTTTGGCGTCCTGAGGGGGCCGCGCTCATCTTCCCTCATAGCAAAATCATTACTTTTACGAAGGTTTTGGGCTCATTTTGTCCTTCTCAGGGGGCAGCGCTCCTTTGCGCTTCTGAGGAGGTCGCAAGAGGCCCCAAGATGGCCCCAAGAGGCCCCCAGGAGCCTCCCAAGAGGCCTCCAAGAGGCCCCCAAGAGGCCCCCAAGAGGCCCCCAAGAGGCCCCCAAGAGGCCCCCAAGAGGCCCCCAAGAGGCCCCCAAGAGGCCCCCAAGAGGCCCCAAGAGGCCCCAAGAGGCCCCCAAGAGGCCCCCAAGAGGCCCCCAAGAGGCCCCCAAGAGGCCCCAAGAGGAGGCCCCCAAGAGGCCCCACGAGGAGCCCGAACGACTCACACCAGGACGAGGGGCCCGAACGACTCACACCACGAAGAGCCCGAACGACTCACACCACAAGGAGGGGCCCGAACGACTCACACCAGGACGAGGCGCCCGAACGACTCACACCACGAGGAGCCCGAACGACTCACACCACGACGCGGGCCCCGAACGACTCACACCACGAGGAGCCCGAACGAGTCACACCAGGAGGAGGGGCCCGAACGACTCACACCGAGGGGCCCGAACAACTCACACCACGAGAAGCCCGAACGACTCACACCAGGACGAAGAGCCCGAACGACTCACACCACGAACGACTCACACAGGAAGAAGCCCGAACGACTCGACTCAAACACGAGGAGCGCTTTCTCTCCCTCCTCCTCCGCCTCGTCCTTCTCCCGCTCCCCCCACAAGGAGGATGTACAAGGAGGCGGGAGGAAGGAGGAACAGGGGAGATATGCGGGGCCCAGCGGACACACGCCTGAAAAACACGACTGTCGGCATGCTTCGCAAGAGTTGCTGCTGTGAGATGGGCTGGTGGGGATACGCGAAGCGTAAAGAATTAAAAAGATAAGACGGAAGTGAAACGTCAGGTGCCCCAACGGGGGAAATCGTTTCGGTTCGTGCGTGACGCGCGTACGGCAGTGGAGAGGCGAAGCTGCGCTCCTGCACGCACGGGCCTGGTCAGGCCACCCCCTCTCCTGTACGTGGCCCTTTGAGCCGTGGTGGCTCCCAATCGTCCCGCCAAGTGTCTGGATGAGTCCCGATAGTTGTCCCGGTGGTTGTCCCGATGGTTGGCCCAACGGTTGGGCCGATGGATGGCCCGATGTTTGTCCCGATGGTTTTCCCATTGGTTATCGCGATGGTGGTCCCTGTTGGCGTCCAGGTAGATCGATAGTGAGATCGACTGATCTTTTCAAAATGACATCCAGATCGGAGGTTGGGGGGTGAGATCGCAGTGAAAAGGAGACCCCCCACCGGGAAATCGGTTTCGGTTTCGTAATCGTGTCGTGCGTGCGGGCGAGGCGAAGCTGCGCGTGATCCTCCTGTAGCTAGGCCGAAGTAGGAGCGAAAGTCCGTTCCCGTCCGCCGGTGGCTGGGAGGTGTCCCAGTTGGGCCGGGCGGTGTCCCGGGTGTCCCTGGTGTCAGCAGGAGCGATAGTCCGTTTCCCGTCCGCCGGTGGCCGGGAGGTGTCCCAATTGGGCTGGGCGCTGTCCTGGGTGTCCCGGGTGTCCCGGGCGTCCCGGCGCTAAAAAATGTCACTAATTTCAAAATTCATGTTTTTCGGCGCCTGCGGCGGGCTTTCTTATCCAATCCAGCTTATATTATCCAATGTATCTTGTCCAATCCAATCCATCTTACCTTATCCAACCCTTCTTGTCGCATCTTATCTTATCCACCCAATCCAGTCCACCAAACCCAATCCATGAATTTATTTGTTTCTGCGCCTGCGGCGGGCCAATCAAATCCATCTTATCTTATCAAATCCATTTCTTCCAAGCCAACCCATCTTATCTTATCCAATCCATCTTATCCCATCCAATCCAATCCACCCAACCCAATCCATCAATTGATTTTGTCCGCGCCTGCGGCGGGCTTTCTTATCTAATCCAGCTTATCTTATCCAACCCATCTCATCCAATCCATCATGTCCAATCCAATCTATCTTGTCTCAATCCCCCCCAAACCTCCTTATCGCCCGCAAGGCGGTCGTATAGGTACATTTATATATATATATATATATATATGTATATATATATATATATATAAATAATGTGGGCAACCATCCAGACGACACGGGAGAACTCCACGACAGTCCGAAGACGGGCCCAAATGGCTTCAAGCGTTCCGGCGCGCTCCCGAAACGACCCCAAGGAGCCCCAAGGCGGTCCACGACGACCCCAAAAGAGCCGTCATACCCCCAAAGATCGCTACAAAACGTCCCAAGATGCCTCCAAGAGCACTCCCAAGAAGGCCCCAAGAGGCAAAATTTCAATGATGTTCACTGATTTTCATTGGCTTCTCGTGAACTTGGGGGTTCTCCTCTTTTGGGCTTCCCGACGCTCCAAGACGGCGGTCTTCTGGGCCTGCGAAGCCGCCTGGGAGGCTCGAAAATCGCCTCACAACCATCCGAAAGGGCTTCCAGGCACTCCAAGGAAGCCCCAAGACAGCACAACAGGGTTCCAAGATGGCCTGAGAGAGCCACATGACGGCCCAAGATGGCCCCCAAACGCCCTCCAAAGCATTCCAAATCGTGACCCGGTCGTTCAGGGAGACCGCGGTTGGAGGCAGGGTGGCCCGAGGAAGCCCCCTGAGGCCCCCAGAAGACGCCCCGGAGGCCTCCACAAGGCCTTAACAATGCTAGAAAAACTGTTGTGAGGCCCTCAGAAGCTCTCCAAAGAGGACCCTCCGCAAAAATAGCTGAGGATGGGGAGAATATGCAGGGCATGGCGAGAATGAGGGAAAAGAAACATGGAGGAATAATAACGAATAACATTCATTATAACGGCAATGTCGGAAAAGGCAACAAGGAGTTATCGATACATTGTCGGCTTGACCTTCCTGCCATTCCGCCTGCATACAAAACTTCAAGGACCAAGGTGCATGGCGCGAAGCGCCAAAGCAGTCTTGTACACACATGTATATACATATATACACACATGTGTATATATACATGTGTGCGAATATAGATAATATATATATATATATATATATATAAATTATATATATATATATACATATATTATACATAGATATACTATACTAATATCTATACTTATATATATATATTATATATATATAATATATATTAACTGTAATATACACTCGGTCCCACCACCGAGTCGAAAACATGCTGGTAAGCTTAGGTATATATTACGCCTTAGGCGTTCCCATATCCCAGGCTTTGGCTCATATCGCATGAGCAGGAGAGCAAGACGAAGCATGGGATCTGGAGTAAAGGATAGGATGGGCATCGTCAATGGAAAAGGTATTTTCCGATCTCAGATACGAATCGTGCGCCTCGGTGAGGCACAATCACATATTTGGCCGGGCCCGGCTTGAGCCAGGCACGGCAGCGGTACATGCTCGATTTATACCTCGCCTTTAACCTTCTCCGTTTAAAGTCGGAGGGGGAGGAGACGAGCAGGCACCGCACTTCTACATTATGCGGAAAAACAGTGCTAAGCAGCAGCGGCTGCCTACAAGGCAAGGGCGCGCGAGTAGCCTCGCTACCGGCGAGTTTCCTCGCTACTAGAGCGCACCTGCAAGCGGGTTTCCCCGCTAGCTCGGGAGGCAGGGCCGTCCTGAGACGACCTGCCCGCCCTATACGGAGTATGTTTCTTCAGCTCGTGCTTGAAGGATTGCTGACCGGCCATTACTTGTAGGAGCAACGCGCGGTCAATACTACCTTTGGTATGACCATCGGCAGTCATATCCCGCGTGTCACACCATCGAACGCTTTCAACGATTCCGCGCTCCATCATCTGGCGGATCCAGCTAATGTGCCCAAGCAGAGTACATTCTGTGGGCTTCTTCAGATCTTTGCTAGACAAAGACTTGAAGACAGACTCGGCATCAATAGTCAGAGTGACTTTGATACATAGACCACCCATCTCCAATATGTTCTTCAACTGTGTGGGGGTCAATGGTCCCGAGTGTAGCTCGTGGAGCGTTACAATGGTCGGGTAGCAGTCTTCCAAGTTGTGGGCTGCTGCCAGTGTTTCCGCAGAATAGCTCGAACGCACCTGCAGTCGATGAGACTTGCAGTATGCGTCCACCAGGTGCACGACGGGTTTCCCCGCTTGCGCGTGGCCACGCCTCAGCAGGTTTGCCCCGCGGATACCGTAGCCTTTGACTTCGTCGTCTTCATCTCCGTTGAGACGACGATAGCCAGAATCGCTATGCAGGTCGACTTCTCCTGTTGGGGTCATAGCTTGATACACGATCTTCTTCGGACCTGCCTGTAGTTTCCTGGTAACCGCGTTTAGTCGTCGTACCTGGATGTTTGTCGGTTCCTGGATACGTTGTAGTGAAACAACATAGACCATCAGCC